GCTAACGGGTTCTGGTCCCTCATGTGCCCCAACGAGTGCCCGGGCCTCGCGGACTGCCACGGTGCCGAGTTCGAGGCCCTCTACGAGCGCTACGAGGCCGAGGGCCGCGCGCGCAAGGCCATCCCCGCGCAGCAGCTCTGGTTCGCCATCCTCGACAGCCAGGTCAAGACGGGCACGCCCTACATGCTCTACAAGGACGCCTGCAACGACAAGTCGAACCAGAAGCATTTGGGCACGATCAAGTCGTCGAACCTGTGCACCGAGATTGTCGAGTACACGGCCTCCGACGAGATCGCGGTTTGCACCCTGGCGTCCATCAACCTCACGGTCCACGTCGATGGCGCCGGCGACGCCGCGACATTCGATTTCGCGAAGCTCCGGCGCACGGCCTACGTCGTGACGAAAAACCTCAACAAGGTTGTCGACGTCAATTACTATCCGGTGGAGGAGGCCAAGTCGTCGAACCTGAAGCACCGGCCCGTCGGCATCGGCGTCCAGGGCATGGCCGACGCCCTTGCGAAGCTGCGCCACCCCTACGAGTCCGACGATGCGAAGCGGATCAACAGGGACGTCTTCGAGACCATCTACTTCGGCGCCATGGAGGCGTCCATCGACCTGGCCCAGGAGCTCGGCCCCTACGACTCCTACGCGGGGTCGCCGACGTCCCAGGGCCTCTTCCAGTTCGACCTATGGAACGTGAAGCCGTCGGACCGCTGGGACTGGGAGGGGTTGCGCGCGCGCCTCGGCGAGCACGGCTGCCGCAACTCGCTCCTCCTCGCGCCCATGCCCACGGCGTCGACGGCGCAGATCCTCGGCAACAACGAGTCCTTCGAGCCCTTCACGTCGAACATGTACACGCGGCGCGTGCTCGCGGGCGAGTTCGCCGTCGTCAACAAGTACCTGCTCCACGCTGTAACCTCGGCGCCGTTGCGCAGCAGCAGGGACACGACGCTCGGCTGGTTCACGGCGACGGCCATCATGAGCGGGAACCAGTCGTGGTCCACCTCGTTGACGTCGGCGCCCTGGTCGATGGCGCGCTGGAGCGCCGTCGTCTCGCCCCGCTGCGCCATGAGGTTCAAAGCGTTGGCGTGGATCGCCACCATGGTGCTACTCCGGGCGCCTACACGAAGACTTTCAGCGCGCCATTGCTTACAATTGTAGTTGTAAAAACGGTAGCCGACCGTGCCTTCGGCAGCATCTTTGGGCTGCCGCGTTGATGTTCAACTTGATGATTGAAGTTCAACAAAATCTTCATGTTGAACGACTAACTAACTAGAATTCGGCCGGGGCGGGTTTGTGGCATGTTGTTGCCTATCATTTTTTTGACTGGCCTTTGAAGCAACTACTTTAAAGTCAGACGGCTTTTGTGAATTTCGCAGGAGGCCTTGCAGGGTTCAAGGTGAGTTCAACGTCCGCCGACGCGCCGGCGCTCGCCTGTGGTAAGAAACGCTCGGACGGCGGCGTTCCTGCGCCGTCGCCACAACCCCACGCGCGCATCGATATCCTACACGCTTACCGCGTCCGGCGCGCCGCAGACCTCGTCCGGCGCGTCGCCGGCCGCGACGCGGGGCTCGGCGCGGCCCTGGAAGAGCGCCTCCTCCTCCTCGAATTCGGTCTCGACGACGCGCCGCCCGGCGAAGTCGATCTTGAACGTCGACTTGCGCGCGTTCTCGCGGCGCCGCTCCTCCTTGTCCCAGGCCGCCGCGGCCTCCTCGGGCGAGCTGAACGCGGACGTCGCGACGGCGTACCAGTCCTGCTGGTCGTCGATGACGTGCGTGCGCCGGGCGCTCTCGCGGTCGTACTGGACGAGGCGCCGCGCGAGCGCCTCGGCGCGGTCGCAGGGCGCGGGGTCGGCCTGGGCCGCGAGGTCGTCGCCGCAGAACGCGCAGCGGCCCCAGGCGGCCGCGCGGTCGCCGAGGCGCCGGTGCGCGTCGGCGTAGGCGCGCTCGGGCGCCACGTCCGGCGCGGCCCGGGCGACGTCGACGGCGTTGGCGAAGCCGCAGCGCAAGCAGTTGAGCGGCGCCTTCTCGGAGTCGCCCTGCTTGAGCCGCGCGGCGCGCTGCCGCTGCTTCTCGCGCTGCGACGCGCCGCCGGGCGCGCCGCCGCCGGCGGCCGGCGCGCGCACGAAGCCCCGCCGCGCCACGAGCTCCTCGGCGAAGGCCGCGACGGCCGGCGCGCGGCCCAGGAGCTCGAAGCAGGCCTTGCGCGTCGCGTCCGCGCTCGCCTGCGACGCGAGGTGCCGGGCGATCTCGCGCTCGCCGACGATGCCCGTCGCCGCCTCGATGGCCGACGTCGCCCACGTCTCGAGCTGCTCGAGCTCCGCCTTGCCCATGTCGTCTGCTCAGTGGAGAAGTTTCTGGCGAGCGAGCTGTGGCATGGGCTGCGAGAAGGACATGCCCGCGTATCGCGTCGAAGCGTGCGCGTCTCGCGGGCGCTACTGCGTCGCGACGCGAAAAATCGCCAAGGGCGAGGTCGCGCTGCGCGCGGAGGTACTGGCCATCGCGCTCAACGACGACCTGCTGCGGCGAGGCACGCGCTGCGCCGTCTGCGCGGCGCCGGACCCCGACGCCGCGTGCGGCGCGTGCGGCGGCGCCCTGTGCACGGCGTGCGCCGGCGCCGAGCACGGCTGCGCGCTCGTCGCCGACGCGCGCGCGGCGCCCGGCGCCGAGACGCGGCACGCGCGGCTCCTCTGCGCGGCGCGCGTCGCCGACGGCGGCCGCGACGCGCTCGGCGGCCTCGAGTCGCACGCCGACGACGCCGACGACGACGCCTGCGACTTCGCGGCCTACGCCGGCGCGCTCGCGCGGCGCGCGCTGCCCGCCGTCGAGCGGCGGTCGCGCGAGCGCGACTTCGAGGACGCGCTCCGGCTCTACTGCAACGCCTTCGGCCTCGCGCTGCCCGTCGGTGCGCTCCGGGCCGACGAGCGGCGTTGCACGAACAAGCGCCACGGCCTCTGCTGGGAGCTGGGCCTCGCGTGCAGCCCGGAAGCCGCGATGCTCAACCACGCGTGCGATCCTACCGCCTCTCCCAAGTTCGTCGTCCGGTCGGGGATGGCGCCTGTC